ATGTCCACCTGCCACCCTACTACCAAACCTATAATTATTTGCACCTAGGTCCGTCCCCCCTTAATCTTGAATATATTTACATATGTACATGTCTGTATTTAGGCTTCCATTTTATATTTTTCTGCTAATAGTTTTGTTCCTTGCATGAAAAAGTTATAATGTCTAGTTCAAGATATTGTTAACATGAAGGAGACTTGATTTTGCTTATACGAATGCCCTTAGTCAATTGAGGATAATCCATGAAGGACTTGGTAAACATTCCTTGGTGTTGTTGCAGATCCTGGGTAAATGGATGGAGACAACCAGACTGAGACCTCTGAGTTCCTGCTCGTTGGACTCTCAGAGGATCCTGAGCAGCAGCGAATCCTGTTTTGGATGTTCCTGTCCATGTACCTGGTCACCGTAGTGGGAAATGTGCTCATCATCCTGGCCATTGGCTCTGACTCCCACCTGCACACCCCCATGTACTTTTTCTTGGCCAACCTCTCCTTCACTGACCTCTTCTTCGTCACCAATACAATCCCTAAGATGCTGGTGAATCTTCAGTCCCAGGACAAAGCCATCTCCTATGCAGGGTGCCTGACCCAGCTCTACTTCCTGGTCTCCTTGGTGGCTCTAGACAACTTCATTCTGGCTGCAATGGCCTATGATCGCTATGTTGCCATCTGCCGCCCCCTCCACTACACCACAGCCATGAATCCTAGCCTCTGTGTTTTGCTCCTGGCCTTGTGTTGGGTCTTCTCTGTCATCTATGGCCTTGTTCACACCCTCCTCATGACCAGGGTGACCTTCTGTGGGTCCCAAAAGATCCACTACATCTTCTGTGAAATGTATGTCCTGCTGAGGCTCGCATGTTCCAACACCCAGATCAATCACGTAATGCTGATTGCCACTGGCTGCTTTGTCTTCCTCACCCCTTTTGGGTTCATGATTGTGTCCTATGTAAGGATTGTCAGAGCCATCCTCCGAATACCTTCAGTCACTGGGAAGTATAAAGCCTTCTCTACCTGTGCTTCCCATCTGGCTGTGGTCTCCCTCTTCTATGGGACCCTTGGAATGGTTTATCTGCAGCCCCTCCACACCTATTCCATGAAGGACTCAGTGGCCACAGTGATGTATGCTGTGGTGACACCCATGATGAACCCTTTCATCTACAGCCTGAGGAACAAGGACATGCATGGGGCTCTCAGAAAACTCTTCCTTGGGAAAGCTTTTCAAATACTAACAGGGTAATTTTAAAAGACTGGATTTAAATACAGGCTGGGACTTCCTCTACCACATGTGGAGTACACAGGAGTAATTAGAAGTCAATCCAATTCAGAGTGAGTGCATAGATCTTGAAGGAAAGGGATATATGTGCAACTCAATATCCCTCATATCTCATCTTCCCTAGCAATAAATAATAGTATGAAATACTATTTCCAGACCTTAAAGATCAAATCTTTGAACTTTCCTGGTTGTAGGGCCACCTTATCAAATTTACCTAGTAGTTACAGCAATGAATATTGATGATGGTTATACAACATGATTTGTGTAATTGCTTTCACTGAAATGTACAAGTGAAAAATGTCGACATACCTAATGTTGTACTACCTGTGTTTTTTATGACATTAAAAAAGAGAAGAAAGAAGACCAACCATTGTATTCTGCAAAAAGGTTCTTGGATAAAGCAAAAGTTTTGCAGTCTACTGCTAACCAAGAGGTGGTTCGAATCTACCCAAATTCACTGTGGAAGTTATACCTGGTGGTATGCTTCTGAAAGAGTCCCATCCTATAAAATATTATGTAAGGTGAAAAACTAAGTTATGTGTTAGCAGTATCGCATTCATGGTATGAATTATGAGAATTGAAGAGTTGTATGAATAAGGGGTGGGTTATTTTAAAACCTCTTTGAAAGCATTGAAGAAAGAGAATGATGGGTTTGGGAAATTTTTTGCAATGATATATAAGACAATGGACTAATCCCAAGACTTTATATAAAATTTCAACACCTTAACAGCAAAAAGACAAACAATCCAATTAAAAATAAGCAGATGACATGAATAATTACTTCACTAAAAAGACAGTTGAGTAGCCATCAAGCACATGAAGAAATGCTTGTGACCATTAGTTTTTAAAGAGATGCAAAGAAACACAGCAAGTAGATATCACAACGCCCTGACATACATTGAACAAAATTTTTATAAGAGGACACAAGTAAGAGTGGCTAGAGTGTAGAGAGACTGGAACCCTCATCCACAGCTGGTAGGACTGTAAAATGGTGCAATCATATGGAAAATAGCCTAGGATATATCTAGTTCCTTAAAAATTAGACATATAAATATATAATCCAACAATCCCCTATGAGGAGACATAATAGTTGTGGTGGGAACAGATATATGCACACTGATGTTCACTGCACAAGAAATGGGAATAACAGATGAGGCATACACACACTATGGAATACTATACAATATTAAAGAATAATGACAAATCGGTCAAATGCTTCAAAATGCAGATGGACCTGTAGGGCATTATGCTCAGTGAAAGTAGTCAATTCCAAAGGAACAAGTATTGTATGAGACTCTTCTGTGAAAAATCAGGAAAATGTGTATACACAGAAACAACCATTTTTGGAAGATTCTTAGGGGCTGATGAAAAACCGCTAACTAGAAGACATACATATTAACTTGGGTGAAGGGAGAGGCAATCTACAACAAAGGGGAGGTCAGGCAAAATGATCAAGGCAAAGAAAGACAGTAAGCAGAGCCCAAGAGCACACCCCATCCTGTGTTAACAGTAATAACAAGTTGATCCATGGAGAGACACTCAAGCTGAACAAGGATAGGAAGGCTAGTGGGAGTACACCCACCAATCCACATAGATTTAACTGAGGCTATCTCTACATACTACATTCATATGTGCTGTGAACATCTATGAATACAGTAGAGCACACAGGGGGCACAGTTATGAAAAATTCTTAGCCATAGTCAAACACCTTGAGGACTAAGACACTGGGCCTCTGGACCCAGGATCATATTCTCTGGGGACTCCAACATCAACTGGCATGACATCATTCACAAAGACAATGCTTTCTATCCTACTTTGTGAGGAGCAAGTGGGATCTTGAAATTTTGTGAGTGTCCATCTGGTCTCTTCCCAACCAGATCAAGAAAAGTGAGGAAGATAAAAAACATAAGGAAACAATGAGTCCAAAGGACTAATGGATCATGTGACCCCCATCCTTTATGACCTGGATGGTGCCTGGCTACTGCTGCCTACCTCTCTGAAAGGGAGCGCAGGACAAATGTGGAGGAAAATTTCAAGTTAAAATAATATATTTTTAAAAAGGCCAGGCTTACAGGTGTGTTAGACACTGGTGGAACCCCTGAGGCGATGACCCTTAGAAACCCAGCAAACCAGGAATAGAACTTACCTGCAGGCTCAACTTTCAGCAAAACATAGACAGAACTTTAAGATGAACAATAACACCAGAGAGATACACACAACTTAGAGCAATCAACTCTAGGAGATCAAAAGAAGAGCACTTGCCCAGATATGTGATTAGAAATAATGGACAGGGAGGAAGTGGGAAGACTGCCTTGACATTGGGGGGATTGCAGTTGCTGTCACAAAACAACATGCGTATGAATTGTTGAGTGGACAATGAAGTTGCACTGTAAACTTTCCCAAATCCCACACACTCACACACAAATTTCCATTCCGATTCCACAGATACAGTACAGGGGCCAAAGTATTGTAAATACATTCTAGGGTCGTTTGAAGAGAACACATATGTCAAGAATATATGAACTGATGGCTGGGTAGACATCATGAAGAAATGCTAGATTGGTGCATACTTACTGTTATAGGAATTTTAGAGAGTCATCAATTCCAGGGAGTAAACTTAAGAATATTTGCTTTTTCACCTTGGAAGTTGGGAACACAAAGTCATTAAAAATTCTGAGGTCATGGATACAAAGAAAGTGACATATCAAACAAGAGAGACAAATCTGGAAGCAAATAGACATGGGCCATTATTTTTTGATATCAAGATATGACATGCAAAACTAATGTAGGGTTTATTTAGTGTGTGTTAATATTTCCCTAAAGGACCCCAAGGGGTACAATGTGTTAAGCATTGGGCTGCCAGTTCTAAGATTTGGAGTTCAAAGCCACCAGCATCTCATGACATAAGGTGAAGTAGTCTCCTGTAAAGATGTACAATCTTGGAAACTAGACTGAGCAACTATTTTCTGTCCTACAGGGTCAATGGCAGTAAGTAGAGTGGTTTCTAACCCTCTATAGACAATATTTCAACAAAATATCTTGTGATATTCTTGGATCGTAGTGAAGAGAAGGAGTCACAGTCCTCTGGCTAAAAAGCAGAGAGTGAAATAAAATAAACCTTGCCACTGTAACTTGGTCTGGAGGGAATATCATGCCTCACCAGGAGGAAACTTTGCAGTGATATTCTTAGAGCTTAGTCTGTGACTGAGCAAATGGTCCTTCCTTATAGGACATTCCTGACCAGGCCTTCACCTCTAGCCAAATTCCAAGTCTTCACCTCTAACCAGAAAATGAGCACAGGAGAAACAAGATAGATAGGAGACCAAAGGACTGGCTTAGCAGAAGCCATACCCCCATCTTACTTGATTTCTCTCTTATCACCATGTGCCATGCCATACTTGATGCTGCTTATTGTAGTTATATTGTTTTCCCTTACTAGGATGTGAGCTGTGTGAATGCTGAGATTTCTGTGTGTTTTGCTCACATCTCTATAACCAGTGTTCTTAAAGCATGCCTGGGTCACAGGAGTACTTTAATAAATATTTGTTGAAAGAGTCAGTGAATGAACTAGGTAGAGTTTCCTCGAAGAACAACGACTTAACACAGCTTTCATTAACCCGAAGATAAGAAAAACAAATCTATGAAAATATTTTCTTGGTATTCCAGTCCAAAAAAGAGGCAATAAAGGAAGGCCTCTATCACTCCTCAGGTCAGGGGTCGCTTTCTCACAAGTACTCACCACAGAGCACCCTGAACATCAGGGTTTCTGAGGCTGTAGATGAGTGGGTTCAGCATGGGGTTGATGAGAGTGTTGATAACCCCAACCCCTTTATCCTTGTCTGAAGCTTCCACTGAACTCAGACGCATGTAGTTGAACAACATGTAGCTGTTCCATAGAAGAGACAAATGACAGTGAGGTGGGAGCCACAGGGGGAGAAAGCCTTTTTCCTTTCTTTTACTGAACGAATTCGAAGAACTGCAGCTGCCACGTGGATGTAGGAGATGATTATGAGAACAGAAAAAGTACCTGCCATTATGAAACCAGCAACAAAGAGCACCAGCTCATTGGCTTGGGTGCTGGAGCAGGAGAGGGGGAAGAGCTGTGGGAGGTCACAGTAGAAGTGATTGACTTCATTGGGACCACAGAAGTTGAGAGTAGATAGGGAAATCGTGTGTATCAGAGCATTGGTCAAGGCACAGGTCCCAGATACGGCCACCAATGTCCTCTGGATTCCCTTGCTCATGCGGGTGCTATAGGTGAGGGGTTGACAGATAGCCAGGAAGCGGTCATAGGCCATGGCTGTCAACACATAGCAGTCCATCCCAGCCAGAAGATGGAAGAAGAAGAGCTGTGTGAGGCAGGATTCACAGGGAATTGTACGCCTGTGGGACAGGAGACGACCCAACATTGGAGGAACAGTGACAGTGATGCACCCAACATCCAGCACCGACAGGTTCCCCAGGAAGAAGTACATGGGGGTGTGGAGTTTGGGCTCCATCAAGATGGCTGCCAGGATGCTGAGGTTGCCCCCCACGGTGATCAAGTAGGCAAAGAAGAAGAGAACAAAGACCAATGGCTGCAGGATTTCTGATTGCACAAAGCCCAGCAGGATGAACTCAGTCAGAGTTGTTCTGTTGGTCCCAGCGCCTGACTCCATGTGCCCCTGCAAGGAGATGTCTAAGTGGATATCAATCCACTGAACTTATTCAGCACAAATAACCAATCAATCAATCAATTAGTTAATTAATTT